ATATCATTATTGCTGCCATCATGCTTCCTCTGGTACAGTGAGGTTTTTATCGTCTCATATGCCGTGGGTTCCTAAATAATCTGTTTTGGGGATAGGCTTTGTTTATTCTCCTTTAGAACTTCTAAATATCTATTGTATTGTGCCACATTGCAATCACTTAGAAATTCTCAGACACTATCCTAATACCAAGAATTAAGTTAAAATATAAACTTCCTGGTTTTCAGTTTAGCGGTTTTTAAAAATAATGAGACTAGCAAGGGAAGCATATGCCCTATTATATGGCTATGGTCTTAATATTTTTTAATTAACATGTCATAATGAAATCAAAGAGCAATATCAACTTCTTCCAATTAATCCCGTTGAGCTCTATTATGACAACAATTTCACATACATTGAAATCTTGCTTTTGTTCAATTAGTTTTTATAAAGCACTGCTGTGATCAGTATACAACATACTATGTAATTATTTTATATGCTTATACACCATAGAGCAAACAAGCTATATGTATATTTTAATTTAAAAAATTATAGTTAATACATGATTAAATGATACAAGATACATAAGAAACCATATATAAATTTAAAACATGGAAGAGATCAGAACCTTTGCATGTAATACTTATCCCTACCTCTGACTACTTTCCAAATGGAGGCACCTTGTGCCCTTCAGGTCTTGGCAAAGATGCCATGTCCTAGGAGAACCCCAATCACCTATCTTAAGTAAGTAGGTAGGTACTCCTCTGTTCTTATAGCTGTACTGCTATTTCAGCAATTATTACAATTTCCTGTGAAATTTTAATTTCTTGTTTTGTACTGATCCACTCTACAAAAATGTAAGTTTCATGAGACATGTGGCCATATATGTCTTACCTTTCATTGTATTCACAGCACTTAGTAGACATGCAATAAATATTGTGGAATGAATTCCCTATTTATGAAGCACATTTTCATAATACATGTAATCTAAAAATTATAAGACAAAAATAAAAGTTCCCTGAATTTGCAAACTAGAACAATATCCTAAAGTGGTTCAATTCTTATCTTCACTCTATAAGCTAGATGTGGCATTTTGCATGTCTCTTAAAACTTCTGGGCAACAGATATCACATAATTTCAAAGACAAGGTTGAATCAAATACTCTCTTAAGATTCTATATGGCTCTAAGAGTTATGACTTTATAACATAAGGCATTTTTAAGTACTAGGTGATAATGGTACAAAACTATACAAAATTAAATAATCATTCACTTTTCAAAAATCAAGCCAAGCGTTAAAACCAACAGGAAGTTTCAAACTATTTATGCCATTGAGTCACAAATGATATATGCTTGGTATATTTTCCCATAAACTATTTTCTAATACAGTAGTTAAGGATCCTAAATCAGGTGAAATTGATTATTATTTCCACTTGAGTAAACATGCTTTAAAAGTAGCAAGTAAAGATACTAGAGTGATGCTTTGTGTTCTATTAAAATCATACCATTTCTAGTAGTTGGATTTATTCCCTTCACCCTATTTTTTTTAGATAAAATTTTACAATGGTTACATTTCAATTGAGGGCTGCATTATTTATATAAATTAAAACTCTGTTCTTGTGTGAATTTAGTGTTACATAAAAGTTATTCTTTAGTTTCATTTTTCACTTTATATTACTCAGTTATAGGAATCAAAACTATAAAATGATTAATTATATAATTTATTTTGTGACTGTTATTATGTTTTAGAGACAATTATGCTAAATCCAAATTTATAGGTTTTAACTTTTGTCCCTTATTACATTATATTTTGGCAGAACCAACAGTGGTATTTCCGATAAGCAAAAGTTCAGTATGATCCCATTCATTTAAAAATAATTTCAGAATGTAATTATATAACTTATAGAATATTTTCAGTATTTGTGAGCAAATATAGTTGTTTTATTGTTTTTATTATTTTCAAGTAACACAGCATATGAAGCTAACATGTTACACAGAAAAAATAATTCTAAATCTACTGTTAGAACTAAATAAAAACTGATTTTAATTATTTAAGTGCATTTAAGTACACATGTAGATATATACACATATATACACAAAAAAGGAAATGTTTAAGAAATATTAAGAAACTGATATTCAAACATTTCCCCAGAATTCCTGAAGACTATTTGTTTAGGAAAATACTTTAATATATTATTTAAAGACAAATTTCAACGCTACTAATGTCTAAATCAATGAGATTTCAAAATGACTATTTAGTTATATAAATATACTTAACATTTATAATATTATTCCTGAAGCTAATAATAAAACCTACATGGTAACAAAGGGCTAAAAGAACTTGGGTTAAACAAGACTCATCCCCTGAATTGCTTGACATCCTTATCCCTTCTCCTACGAACACTACTAAAATCATAGGATCAAGCAAATGTTATGATCAAAAAAGACAGAAGCTTTGGAGTCAGGAACTCATTTGTTTCCTACAACTTATTAGGTGTGTTATTATAAATTATCTAAATTCTCCTTAAGGTGAAATACAAACAATTATACAGAAAGGAAAGGAAAGATAACAATTATTGAGTGTGTGTGTGTGTGTGTGTGTGTGTAAAACATCTGGTATAATGTGCAGAACACAGTAGGAATTCAAGAAATGCCATTTCCCACATATCCACCACCCTCTAAACATAAGCCCCCATTTCTCCACTCCCATTCTCATCTCCTGATAAATATAAATGGGTGGAGAAACATGGATCACACTGATTATGTAGAAAAGAGAGAGTCAAAGATTTGAATCAAGAGAGCATACCAAAAGAATCAAAAAATTCCACAATTTCTAGATTAAAAATAACACTTGAAGACTGCCTCTTCCAACAATATATAGTCTGGAGAGAGGGTCAGCTATCCTATTGTCCATCTTTACATCCACTAAATTTTAAAACAGGAGTCATTTACAATGTTTATATTTATAAACAGTAAAAAGTAGAACTACTTCATCATTTGTAAATATGAACAGATTTATTCAAAAATAGAATAAAGCAAGAGGTAATTCTATTTTTGAATGTTATGTGTGCAATGGTTAATAAATCTGAGTTTTATGATTCAAATAGAATCTTTAGTTATATAATATTAAAATTTTTCAAATTAAAGGAATGCCCAGAGTAACTCAAATTTCTGTCCTCACCTTTAAAAGTCTCATTGACTCCAATATTCTATTTAATTCCAAGCTGTAATAAAAGCCATAGTATAAGTTAGAAGGGCAGGATCCTACCTAATATTCTGAGTTGTGTAATATGATAAACGGTGTTGCCGTTCACTGAAATAAGGAATACTATGAGCGAACTAGGTTGGACTGGATTGGGTTGAATGAAGATTCTTAATTCAGCCTTGGACACAGAAAATTTAAGGCACTTCTAAGATACCCAAGGAAGCATGTCAAGTAGGCAAAGGATTACATGGCCAGACAGTTCAGAGGAGAAATCTGAGTGAGAGTAATAAATGTGGGTTGTCTTTAGGATATCATCTAGGGGAGTGACATAGCCTAGGGCCATGCCTTAAGTAACTCCAAAATAGATTGGCTGAGTGGATGGAAAGAAGATTATACAAGAGTGGCCAGAAAGAGAGTATTAAGATCTGGCATTTTGGATCCCAAACACCAAGCAAAAAGGAGCATAATAAATTCAACAAAGCCAGATACTGTGAGGAGGGCAAGTACGACAGTCGCTAAATTTAGTGACATAGAGATCATTGGCAATCTTACAAATATCTATTTCAATAGTGATGGGGCAGAAGCCAGATATATGTAGGGTGAGAACGAAGTGGGAGTTGAGGAAATAAATGTGCATAATCACTCTTAGAATAAGTTTGGCTAAAAACACAGAAGGCAAAAATAATAGGAGGAAATATGAGAATTTAAAAAGAGTTATCTGGAGAAGGCAGAGAGGTAAAGATTATTTTTAGGATCAAGACCTAAACATATTTAAAAAGTGATATAGGACTCAGTTGAAAAGAAAAGGTGAACCTAAGCTACAAAATCATGCAAGTTTTCTGGGAAAGTAATGAATGATGGAATACAAAAGACAAGCAAAAGAAACAGATAAAACAGGAACAGTTCCTCTATAGAAGTAGAGAAAGAGAATGGGTAAAATATGGTGGATTTGGAAAGCTAGTCCCAGAAAATAAGGGAGTTGCCACCTGATGATTCTAATTCTTTCTGTGAAATAGGAGAAATATTTTTTCTAACTTTCATGGAAAAGATAAGATTAGAGATTTGAGAGAAGTGAAGACCACTTGAAAAGTTGTATATTAAATAAGAGCAAGTATAGACCAGAGAAAGATATCCTACACAAAACAACTTGAGTATGTGAAAGTGTGATAGAAAAAAATGTAAGTGTCCAGTCACATTACCAATAATCCCTGTGGGAGATGCAAACTATGACTAAAGTCAAATTAGAAGTTATATTTTATCAAAATTTACTTCTTGAAAAAGTAGAAAACATAATTAATATAATTAGTAAAAGCAAGAATATACCAAGACAAATAAAGTCAGAAATTTCAGGAAAATATTTACAGATCCAGAAATCAGCAAGAAAAACAACAGTGAGACAAAAACGGCATAGCAAATCTAAATACAATTTTTATAGGTGAAGCAGACTGCTATTTTCTAATAAATTTTTTTTGCTTCCTCCTAACACAGTAGAAGCCAATTTCTACATAATACTGGCCTGCCACATTCTTAACAAGGAATTCATAGTGAATCTGGCAGACAGTGATGAGGAAAAGACAGCTTTTAACAGGATTTTTTGGAAAATACTTTAAATGTAAAACATTAAGACATATAATCAGTACATTATATAGACAAAAATATAATTATTTTTCTATAGAGTCCTAGAAAGTGTCTAAGTTTCATGCTTAAAAATGAAATTTCAGCTTTTAGAAATTTTATATCCATAATACACATAACTAAAGTATTTCTTTAAAATGCCATCAATTCAACTTTCTGCCTTTAAACTATTTTTGTTTTACTCACTCAGACTTCTTTTCACAGGTTTTAGAAGATTCCTCAATTCTTTTCTCTAGCTCCAGGACAGCTTCTTCCTTGTTCAAAAGCATTTGCTGTGTCTGCATAAGTTCCTCTGCTAAAGTTTTCAACCTAGAATGGACAGTTTCGTCATTATCAATCCATACAAAATTGCATTCACTTTACACACACACAAACATTCACACATCTAAGGTTGTGATGCCCAAAACAGTAGCCACATGTAATTTAATTTAAATTAAATTAAAATTTCAGTTTAACGGCTGCATTAGCCACCTTTCAAGGACTGAACAGACACATGTGGCTAGTGGCTAACATATTGGATGATACAGACCAGAAAATTTTAATAATCACAGTAAGTACCCTTGGGCAGTGCTTTTCCAAAGAGCCTTATTCATCAAATACAAAAAGAGACACAGAAAGCAAATAGAGAAAGAAGAAAAGACTAAATTAAATTTCTGTTATATCCCAGGAAGAGTATATAGTGAAAAGATCATCGTTTTTTTTCCAGATGCATATTTACACTCTGGTTTTGCCACTTTTTATCTGAGATCCTGGGCAAGCTACTACTTAGCTCATTTTCTCATTTGCAATTTGGATACAGCGATACCTGCTTGAAAGCATTGTTTTGAGGATCAAATGAACTAATACATATATGATGACTGGTACTTAGTAAGCTCTGAGTAAAATGGTTTTTAGTATTATTTGCAGATGATGTATCATAATAATATATGACACAGATCCCATTATCCTTATTTTAAATTAAAGAAATTGAGTCTCAGTATAATAATTTAAATTGATAGTAAGCTATTGCACATATTGTAATAATGCTTTAGAAGTATTTTCTATACAGATTTGAAGATAATTAAATACACAAAATTAATATGCATTCATAGGCCAGATAATTTGTAGTTGCATAAAATGTATTTGGTCCTGAATAGAAATATTTCTACCACAAAACACACACAACTATCAAAATACAATATAATTTTATCTTTAGCATTTTAAAGCAATACATGGAACCCAAAATATACAAAAATATGTAAATAATCCACATCTTAAAATTTTTAATTATTTAAAGTTTAAGAGACAATAAAGTCAAAAGCAAAAGTCATACTGTGAATTATTTGCAATGCAAATTATAAGCTAAGCTCTCTTAATGCAGAAAAAAATCTTAGAAAAAAGACAACCTAATATGAAAATAAACAAAGAACACAATTGGAAGTTCATCAAGAAAAACTCGAATAATTAATAATGGAAATATTTACAACCTGACCCACAATTAAATATCTGCAGATTAAATAAACAATAAGTTATTTTTCACCTACTAAAATTGAAAACTATGAAAAAGAGTGACAAAAATTTCAGGGGAAAAGGGGAAGGATTTATAAGAACAAGTATAAAGGACACATGGACAAAAACTAGGGGGGGAATGGAAATGGGAGGGAGGGGAGGAGGGTTGGGGGGTGGGCTGGGATGGGAGTAAAAAAACAGAAAACTGTACTTGAATAACAATTAAAATAAAATACTTTTTTAAACAAAAGAGTGATAATATTCAGTGTTCTCAATAGTGCAAAATAAAAACACACACTGTTGATGTGACAAAATCTGCACAAATGTTTTCATAGATCAGTGTGGAATTGTCTCTCAAACATCAAATTAGAATATTCTCTCACCATCTAAAAATCTGTCTTACCAAAATACTTTAGAAGGTGCACAAAATGTGATATGAACATGTTTGTTGCAACATTGTTTTTAAAACAAAGAAAACATTTAAATGTCTTTAAATGTTTTCAAACAGGTGAATGGCTGAATAAATTTTAACATATGTATAAGATACAGAATAGCATGTAGTTGCTTTAAAATGAGATGCACACTTAAAAAGTTCTTCTAAGGCACATTTTTTAATTACAATGCATTATGCAGAATACATATAGCATGGTTCCATTTACTTAAAATAAATGTATGTGTATATGTGCTATGGACTGAATGTTATCCCCTTAAAATTCTTATACTGAAGCTCTAATTACCAACGTGATGGTATTATTTTTTTTCCATCCTCACCAGAGGACTTTCTTTTTTATTGCTTTTAGAGAGACATGGAGAGAGAGAAACATCAATGCAAGAGAAAAGCACCGACTGGTCACCTCCTGTATTCACCCAAACCGGGGATCATACGCACCCGGACCAGGGATCAAGTGTGCAATCTAGGTATGTGACCTGACCAGTAATCAAACCTGCAATCTTTTTGGTCATGGGACAATGCTCCAATCAACTGAGCCACATGGGTCACAGCAGTGTGATGGTATTTTCAGATATGGGGCATTGAAAGGTAATTAGGGTCAGATGATACCATGAGAGTGGGGGCCTCATGATGGAATGAGTGTCCTTATAAAAAAGAGATACTAGAGAGTCTGCTCATGCTCCTTCTCTCTTTTCTCCAAACATACACAAAGAAGTCATGTGAGTACACAAGAAGGCAGCAGTCTACAAGCCAGGAGGGGAGTCTAAGCAAGAACCAAGTTGGCCAGCACCTTGATCTAGAACTTCTAACCTCCAGAACTGTGAGAAATAAATTGTTGTTGCTTAATGCACCAGTTTGTGGTATTTTGTTCTAGCAGCCAGAGCAGACTAATATAATATGTATATAGCTGTGTGTGTCTGTGTGTGTGTGTGTATACACAGAACTAGATTACTACAAATGAAACTGATAGACACTCTGAAAGATGTGGGATTGGAATACAGGGTAACTTAAAACAAACAAAAAAAGTCTTTCATATTTTCTTCTATATTTATATTATTTGAATCTTTTATAACAAGAATTAACTTAAGTTTTAAATTATTAACTAGTTGGTCATAGAGATGAAAAAGGCAGAAAAACTATGAAATATAGTCAGAAGAACTCAACATATAGCAATCCAGATTATTTCTTCTTTGCCCAGGCCTGATAGCACAGTCGGTTAGAGTTTCGTTTTGATACACCAAGGTTGTATACCTTGGTTGTATCAGGGTTTGATCCCTGGCCAGGGCACATACAAAAAACAACCAATGAATGCATAAATAAGTGTAATCGATTATTTCATCTTTGTTTACAGTCAAGCAACATAAAAAAAATTTCAACAGGTTTCTGAGGGCATTACTATATGATAGCAAAACATAATCAATGATGCTTATAATGATCCAGAATGATAAGGAAAAGGTTAATGTAAGATCAGCATTTTTCTTTAAAAATATACATGTACATATATTTTATGAGATTTACATCCAATCCAGTAAAATTATGTTTTTTATTTTGATGAAGAGATGAACTCCAGTTATCTGGAAAAATCGCTTACAAGGAATAGTTCATATCCTGACTATGTAAAGGAAGCATTACTATATTAAAATTAGAAATCATTCTCAAGAAAGCTACATTTCAACTTCTGGTTTCAAGTTACTTATAAACAATTATAAATAAGTAAGTAAATAACACACAGAATCCTTTGATGTTTATAAAATTCTGCCTTATATATGATCTCACTTAGTCCTCATAAAAGTCTGTACCACAGGACCCTATCTCAGAACCTGTTCAACCACCTCCTGTCACCCCAGTCTAGAGGTAACAGAGTAAGAACCAATTTCTCACCATTTGTCTTGGCCATGTTACATCAGAGCTGAGTTTGATAAAAAGCTCTTTCCCTCTTCAACACCCTCCTCTGTTTTATCTTTTATTTCTCTCTCCTATATCTTTGTCTTACTCTTTGTTCTCTTCCCAATTCATTTTCTATCCACCTCTCTTCTCAATTCTTCATTCATTCATTTAAATAAGTGTTTACTAAGCTAGACACTAGGGATAAAACAATAAACAAGTCTACGTTCAGGAAACACATTCTAGAAGAGACATCAAACTTTTTTCCTCCAAACCTCTCTTTTCTTCTTCTTTCCTCTCTTTGATTATTACTGTTTGCTTTCCTAGTTTCTTCTCGATTCTGCTCACTGTATCTTATCCTCTTATGCATCCTGAAATAAGTACACAGCCCCTGCAAATTGTAAGAAGCAGGCAGCAGGGCTTACCCTTCATGGTATATTCCTTACACTTTGCACAGTCCTGCATATAGCATGTGTTCAACTCAGTTCTCTGTCCTGTTTTTCTCACTCGAAGCCCACATTCTGCTTTTTCCATAATTCTTTAATAAGTACCAAGACTATCCTGATTCCTATCACTCTGGATCATCAGAGAATAAACCTGAAGAGCCATTTCAACATGAAAACAGCACAATTTACAACTTTCACCCATCGACTAATTCTAGAGCTAACCATATCCAAACCACTACTGTGATGGTGCAGTGAGAGAAGCTTAGTTCTCTACATAGAAGTCACTGGTGCAGGGCTGACTGCTTTCATGTAAAAATTACATCATCAAGCTTACTTTATCTTGCCACATGAGAGTAAAAGAAGTATTTGTGCTTACAACTAACTCCTCATCTCTACTACATTCTATAAAGCCCCTTATTCTGGTGAACTAGACACCAGTTCTAGAACCAGACACCTTCAGGTTCAATATTTGCTTAGCTTTTCTAAACTTCCATTTTCTACTCTAATAAAATGGAAATTAATTTCACACCTAACTAAATTAAATAATTATATTACATTAAAGCAGTAAAACACTGTACCCTGTTAGGAATTCATATATTTTAAGAGAATAAGGCAAAAGACTATGCATAGAATAACCCCATTTCAGTAAGGAAAACAATTTATATATATGCATGTGCTTGCAAATATATCCTGGAATGATACATACATTTTTTAAAATGAATTAACATTGGAGGTTAGAAATGAGTCTAAAAAAAGAGAAAACATTGATTTTCACTGTATACCCTTTTGTAAGATTTTGCAGATATTGTCATCTGCTTGCATTAGTTAATTTTTAAAGATTTAACTGTATTTAAAGATACAAAGCCTGAAACAATTATTGTGGGTAATAAAAAGTCTTCAGTACTTATACAATCCTTTTTGTATCCCTAAATCATTGGATATCATTATCTGTATCTTACAACATACTTACAGAGACCCAACTTCCTAAAAAAATTATAAATTATAAATGTCCAATACTGTCACACTAATTGTGATATTTG